GCAAAAAATGGCGCAGGCCGAACCACCACGCCAATCCAAGCGGCAATTCCAGGACCGTCCGCGGGCCGAATCCAGAGGGCAGTTGGGCCTGATCTGGCCTGCGGGCCCACGACATAATGAATACAAGCATTCGTTCATGTATGCAACAACGGCTGCTCGGATATTGTTAGCCAAACACTGGAAAGAAAAAGTCCCCAAGGAAGATTGGCAAACTAAGTTAATGGAGTATGTGCAAATGGCTAAATTAACTGGGAAACTTAGAAATCATATCATATCATAAATATAACATAACATAACATAACAACATAACATAAAACATAACATAACAATATAATAAGAATGGGAAATGTTTATTGCATATTTACAAAAGCATTGTAAGGAAGTTAATACATTAGCAGGATTTTTAAAATACTTGTAATGTTATGGATAATGTTTAAATTTTGAGGTAATTAGAGATAAAGACTTTATTGACATGCATAAATGAAGATAATACAAAGGAACCAGGGGAGGGAGTGGAGGGAAGTCATTCCATAATGTGGATCTAATATTAAGTGCGCATACAGTTGTTTTAAATTTTTTACTTTATGTTTTTTCTTTTTTTCTTTAATGCAATGATTTTGTTTATTGAGAAAATTAATAAAATATTATTAAAACAAACAACAACAACAACAAAAAACTAGCCCCCCTTCCACAAACAAAAATAGGAGGCCATTGACTGTTAATCAGCCCAAGGCCTGGTCAAAGAGAAACGTTTTCACCTGGCACAGAAAGGTATGTCATGAAGGCACCAGGCAGGCCTCCCTTGGGAGCATCCTACAAACGGGGAGCAACAGAATATTGTTCAACCATCCTCATTTAAATGGGACATCCCGGAATTATAGAAGCCATTCCCGGATTCTGCCTGGGTCCCAGAGTGTCTCGTCTTTTGGTCTCATGCTCTAGCGCAAATCAGTTGGCTTGCACCCTAACAAAGTGTTGCCCCCCCCCATAACAAAAATCCTGGCTACGCCCATGTCTGAGCGCCAGACCAAAAGATGTTTGTTATTTGGTCTCACGCTTTGGCATGGGCCAGCTGGCTCCCCTGAGAGCTCAGGATCAAAACAACGAGCGTCTCGATTTAGATGACCAGCAGAAAGTGACTGTTCTTGGGTTGCCACCTCCAGACCACTCCTGGAGGAGGCCCCTGGAGAAAGGCCTCAGATGATGACCACAGGTTCATATGGTGAGAGGCAGTCCTCGAGGTATTGCAGTCTTTGTCTGGGCAACCATGCCCTGCTCTTGCAAGGCATCATCTGGCTCACCTGTGGGAATCAGGATGCTGGTCTGATACAAGAAAGCAAGATGAACATTCTTAGGCAAATCATGCTTAGTAGAACCCCCAAGTTCAGAGGCATTCTACCACCGGATATCGGCTGCTGTTGGGAAAGGGATGGTGCTGCTGACTTGGAAGGGTTATTTTGTATCAGGTCATTTCGCATGACTTGGTTCATTTTTAAAATTAATATTTTATTAGAAGTGTTTGGTTATAAAATAAAGGGGGGGGGGGAGAAAGAGAAAAAAGTGCAAAGAGGAAATTATCATGTGATAAAGAGGAAATTATCATGTGATAAAATAAGTATTCTCAGTTACAATAGATTATTATATAAGTATATAGTTTGTGTATGATACTGGATAGAAGTATTTAGATAGTATTGTTACCCTAATGCAGAAGTGGGATAGAACAAAGATATGTTCCATTCCACTTCTGCATTGACCTGTGGGGCTTGGGATTTGTTCATTTTAAAAATATGCACAAAACTTTGTACAGTGGTACCTCTGGTTACGTACTTAATTCATTCTGGAGGTCCATTCTTAACCTGAAACTGTTCTTAACCTGAAGCACCACTTTCACTAATGGGGCTGCCACCTCGCAATTTCTGTATTTATCCTGAAGCAAAGTTCTTAAGCTGAAGCACTATTTCTGGGTTAGCGGAGCCTGTAACCTGAAGCGTATGTAACCCGAGGTATCACTGTATTTAAATATGGCATGTATCTCAATGCATACATTTCTTTCCTATTTATTTATGTATTCTTCTCTGTGTGTGCGTGCACAAGAGAGAGAGAGATGGCCCACGTGACCACGGTCTCTGACTGCTTTACATAAAACAATAAAATACACAATACAATTCACAACAAAAACACAAATAAAATGACATAAAATCACAAAAGCAGCTGAAGTCAGCATAATAGATGGCAGTTAAAACCATTAATACCATCATAAAACACCCAGATGAATTTGGTGCAGAAGTTAAAGTCCCCAAATGGATTGTAATAAAAGGGACAGGAAGTTCCTTCTCTGGTGTCAAAAAGAACACAAGGGAGGTGCCAGGTGAGCCTCTGTGAGGAGGGCGTCCCATAACCAGGACGCCACCACTGACAGGACCCAAGACCCAAGTCTCGTGCTTCTCAGAGGGTGTGGCAGGAGAGGATGGCAGGTGTAGAGGGAAGGTTCAAGGACAATCACAGAAGCACTGAAACATTTCAGGGCAGTCTAGTTTGTCTGCCTCAAAATAGAGCTGATCTAAATGGGATTGCCTGGCAAAAGCAAGCTCACACCTTAAGGTACATATGTCAGAGGCTCGTTCATAATTGTATTCATGTTCTTTTATAGCTACATTGCTTTATACTTTCTGGGTGTCCCATGGTCATATTATGAAGGTGTTGTGTTCTGTGTGATAAATCAAGCACTGTTTTTGTTTTCCAACATGTTTCTGATAAAGAAAACAATTGACGCGGTGTGAGCAAATTGCTATTCTGAAAGTGTGGCCAAGAGAAAATTTCATGAGAGCCCTAGTATCTGCCAATCCTAAAATATTTATCACAATATATACATTTTTGATGTGTTTGATTAAATGTTGTGATATAAGGGCTGTATCACAAAATTCAAAGGATCCTCAGGATAATTATACAGCATTCCAATCCACACAGTATTCCAATCTTGGAAGGTAAGATCTGGTAAGAATCTTGAGAAAATTGATGGAATACGTAGAGATGGCAAAATTTACTGGAAGAATAAGAGATTAAGATGAGAGACTTTTTAAAATAGAATTGGGGAAAATTGTTGAATGCATGAAGAAAAATTGTAAACAATTAAAAACGTAAGCAGGATTGCCACAAGGTTAAACTTGTAAGTAGGTTTGAATTGGTTATGCAGTAAGATTACGATATAAAATAAGGAACTGCAGGGGGGGGGAGTAAAAGAAAATGTAGCTTTAATTTGTTTAGATTTAATTTTTGTTGTTGAAATATTGTAAAATGCAAAAATGCAAAACAATAATAAAATAACCCCCAGAAATCAAATAAATCCCTTCAGCACTACCTGATGCTAGTCTAGATAGACCTTTATTCTGATCTGGCAAGGTGATCCTTAAGTCTTTGTCAAATGAGGAGTCACTGCATAGAAATTACATAGAAACATGTGCCTATAAAGAGAATATTGTATCGAAATGCAAACTGATGTGGAAATGTGGAGAACTGAATTTCAGATTGGAAAAATGAGAACCCAAGAGAAAGTGATATTATCAGATCTGCTCATCCCTATCTATAAAATCCCTTTGTTCATTACTGCCTCTGCCCTGGTGGCAGAGCTTGTGGTTCGTGGCCACTGAGAGAGAGCCCTTCTCCTCTGTGAATCTGTCCCATCTTTTAAAGTCATTGAAGTTGGCAACCAGCCCTTGCCTCCTTCGGGAGGGAGTTCCCAAGTTTGTGCTGCAGGAAGAAGTGCCTTCTTTTATGCGCCCTGAATCTTCCAACATTCAGCTTCCTGAGCTTCCATGGGTTCTGGTGTTATGAGAGAGGGAGAAAACCTTTTCGCCACCCATTTCCTCCATGCTTGTGCCTGGCATTTTATAAACTTCACTCATGTTGCCTCTTACTTGCCTTTTCTATAAACTAAAAAGTCCCAAAGGTGGCAACCTTTCTTCATAGGGGAGCCCCTCCACCACCTCATTTGTGCCTATCTCTCATGGTAAATTATGTGGGAAGATGTGGGGTTCTCATTGTGCACAATGGGGGGGGGGAAGTGGGGCCATATTTAGAGAAACCCTCCCCCCACATCTTCAGAATTGTCCCCCCCCCTTTTGCTACAAGGAGTCCTCAGTCTCTTCCCAGTCCTGCCTTTGGTTAGCTCTTCTCACCTCAGAGATGTTTCAGTTAATCTCAGTTTCTTCCTATCTCCCTCTGATAAGCTCCTTCCATTCTGGAAAAGGTCTCACTCCGCACCCAAACTCCAGAGGAGCCCCACCCCAGAGCTGCAGCAAAGCCAAAGGGGTGTGTGTGTCTTTATTTGGTTGTATCTCAGGGGGAAGTCATGGTGTGGGCTGGAAGAGCTTGGCCATGTGCTGAGTCAGGAATGCTTGCCTGTCAAGAGCCTTGTCAGCATCACACTAACAGTAATGAATATGTGGCCTCCTAACCCATGGCGCCCCCTCACCCCACCCTTTGTGCTGCATGCGAAAAGTAGCTGCCATCTTGGCTGTCTCTTTTGTGGGCCGACATGACATTCTGAGGCCTGCTCCTGAGTGCACGGAGGGAGAGGTCAGCCGCTTTGCAGATGACGCCGGCTGCCTGGGGAGGACGGCCACTCTCCTGAAATAAGAAGTGCTGCTCTCAAAGTGGACAATGCCCAAAGGCAGGCCAAGGAAACTCATTGCAAGTCAGGGCGTAAGTGGCAACTTGGACAAGGTGCCCTGAAGAGTGGGAATCCTCTCAAGTGGAGGATCTGATTGTCACAGCCGCAAACCCGATTAGATTCTTCTTTGTCAGGCATTCACAGGAAGGGGAGCCACAGAGAGCTTGTGCACAGGAGAGAGCTTTTTCCTGTGGAGTTGCATGAGCGTGGGGGCGGGGGGGGGGGAATCCTTGACACAGGAGAAATGTGAAATTGCCCTGCCTCAAAGAAGGCATCATGCTGAGTAGAAATGAATGAGGAATTGGAGCAACGAAGAAAGCCTAAAGAAATAGATGGGATAGCTCAGCTGGTAGAGCATAAGACTCTTAATCTTAGGATTGTGGGTTCGAACCCCACGTTGAGCAAAGGTTTCCTGCATTCCATGGGGTTGGACTAGATGACCCTTGTGCTGCTTCCATCTACAATTCTATGATTCTCTTAATGTTGTGCAACCTTATTTCTGTTTTGTTCCTCCAAGGAAGGGTCCCCCTTCCCTTCCCTTCCCTTCCCTTCCCTTCCCTTCCTGTTCTGCTCAGGAAGACTGTCTTTCTGGTGTGATCAGCTCCATCCTGACTCTGGGAACAGAGGACCTTTCTGGCTGACCCCTTCCCAGCGGCGTAGCGTGGGTTGTCAGCACCCGGGGCAAGGCAAGTAATTTGCGCCCCCTAACCCGTGGATTTGCGCCCCCTAACCTGTGGATTTGCGCCCCCTAACCCATGGATTTGCCCTAACCCCAGATGTTGCGCCTGGTGCGGCCGGTCCCCCCTGCACCCCCCACGCTACGCCACTGCCCCTTCCCTTCCTCTGTGAAGGCAGCTTGTTTTGGCTGCTCCACCCAAAGACCTTCCTGGAGCTGAGTGGGAGAAGGAGGCAGCTTGCCTTGAAGGGCACGTGGGGGGCGTTCTGGAAGGAACCTCCCCAATTCAGAAACACCCCTCCATGGCTGAGGCCTTATCACTTTTATTCATGTAATAGAGATGAAGTCGCCCGGCCTCTCAGGAGCATCCATCTAGAGATTTATTAACCAATTTAAAATACTATTGTCTTTCACTTCAGTGTGAGATTGAGGTGTGTTGTCGGAGGAATATAAAGCTACAATCAGTGAGGCGCCGTGCAGCCAGACGCCACTACCTGGAACTCAATAGATATTCATGAACACTCCCGTATTTAGTGAAGGAAATAACTTAATGCCGACAGAGTCGATGGAATAATAGCCGTTTCCTGGCTGACTTGCAGCCCTCAGAAAATGAGATTGCACCTGCCTTCATTTTTCTTGTCTTTTTCTGGGTTTCTTGCAGCAGAATGCGCCACTGGAGGGAAATGTGCCACGCATTCCTAATGAGCTGCAGGGACAGGCGGCGGCAGCCTGCCCTTCCTGCTCCAGTCTTGCAGGAGCCTCTGCTGGGCACGCCCCTCTCCCCTCCTCCTCCGCCACCAGGTAGGGTTCATTTCATGCTTGCTTAGATTATGAATACTCTCAAAGGCAATTTCCTCATCTTTCTTGCCCTCCACCTCTGCTCTGCCCGCCTTTCTACTCCCATCAAATTCCCTACACTCTTCCATGCAGGCAGCCACAGATAATCCCCTGCTCATTTCAGTGGGACCCGCCCAGGCATAACTGTGCACCGGGGGGGGGGGGGGCAACCTTGGAGTCAAGGAGGGAACCTTTGTATCAAATTGGTTTGCATCTAGGGATCATTTGCTTGTGGGTTGTGGGAGCAGGCCTGTCTTGTGGGGGACGGCTTAGACACAGCAAATTGGAGAGAGCTTCTTTCTTGTTCTCTGTATTACCTGCCATTTCCCAATTCTCAATGGCATTAAGTTGCCCAGGGGAGTCTGACAGGCTGGCTGGAAAGGGTGTGCCGCTGGCAGAAGCCTCATGAGGAGCAGGAGGGGCCCATTCAGGAGGGGCCAATTCAGCATTTTGCCGCTGTTCTTTTCTCCTTACTAACAAAAAAGATTATCGTAGGCAGTGATGCTGCCCAGCAGCTCCCTGGTAAAAGGGAAACAATCTAAGAAGGACCAGTTTATGCCCTCTGCAGACCACATGAAACAGCTTTCCCAGGCAAGACCAGTTTGCTGCACACTGGGGGAGATGTGTATCTGCATGTTCTGGGCAGAGTCTCTCTGCGCAGGGGAAAAGAGCACACAAGGAGAAGTGCCGGCTCGGAAATTTTGGAACAAGAGGGAGATAAATTGAAATTGCAGAGTTTTGAAAAACTAAAAAACAAAGTGCGAGATTGGCTTCATTATTATCAAATAATGGAGGCATACAATTTGGACAAGAGAATTGGATTCCAGGTGGAAAAAATCAAAATTGGAAACATAACTGTTAGATCCCAAAACTAAGACTTTGTCAAGGATGTATAACTTGCTGTTGAAATGGAATACTCAGGATGAAACGGTGAAATCTGCTATGATTAAATGGGCACAAGATGTTGGACATAACATTATGATGGCTGACTGGGAACAGTTATGGACCACAGGTATGAAGTTTACGGCATGTAATGCCTTAAGAGAGAATATTATGAAAATGATATACAGGTGGTACATGACACCAGTCAAGCTTGCAAAAATCTATCATTTGCCCGATAATAAATGTTGGAAATGTAAAGAAACTGAAGGTACATTCTTTCACCTTTGGTGGACGTGCCCAAGGATTAAGGCTTTCTGGGAGATGATATATAATGAAATGAAAAAGGTATTTAAATATACCTTCCTGAAGAAACCAGAGGTCTTTCTCCTGGGCATGGTCGGCCAATTGGTGCCAAAGAAGGATAGAACTTTCTTTATGTATGCCACAACAGCAGCAAGAATACTTATCGCAAAGTATTGGAAGACACAAGATCTACCCACCCGGGAAGAATGGCAGATGAAGGTGATGGACTATATGGAACTGGCGGAAATGACCGGCAGAATCCGAGACCAGGGAGAAGAGTCAGTGGAAGAAGATTGGAAGAAATTTAAAGACTATTTACAGAAATACTGCAAAATTAATGAATGTTAGAATGATGTTGGATTGAAGTTAAGTGGTTTTTAGCAGTAATGTTATAAAGATGTGTAAAAATGGATTGGTAACAGGGGATAATCTAAAGTTATAATATATTAAGATTAAAGATTAGGATAAAAACAAAGAGGGAAAGGATTTGCTGAACCAACTAATTGAACTGGATACAAAAAAGGGAGGTGTGAGGAGGTCTGGGGAACAAGCGAATGAAAGATAAGACACGGAAAGATTGAATTGTTTTTAACTGTTTTTACTTTGTATTTTTTCTTTTTCTTTTTTCCTTTTGTAACATTTTGAAAACTTTAATAAAAATCTTTTTTTTAAAAAAAAAAAAGAGAGAGAAGTGCTGGCTCAATCCTTCCACGTTTCTATGTGCAGGAAAGAGATTCCTCTGTAGCCCAGTTCAATGCCTAGAGCAGCAGCTCTCCAGGGATTCCTCAGGCAGAGGAGGGTCATCTTTCCCCTCACCCAGGGATTGAGCCAGGGGACTTTCTGCAAATCAATCAGGTGCGGTGAGCTATGGTCCTTCCCTGAAACTGCTGATAACTTGATGAACTGCCAGTCTTCTTTTCCTTCTTCTTCTTCTTTGGTCATCCCTCGCAGCCAAGTAAGATTGTCTTCCATGAACACGGTCTTAACAGTGAGTCCGTAGGTGACTGCGGAGGCCAATTCTGGATCCACACGTCCTTCCACAGTGGGGACAGAGGTTTCTGGCTGGGAGTTGATCACAGTGAGGGTTTGCCAAACGTGCCTTCCTCTTGTGTGTTTCTGCTGCTGACATTGTAAACTGATCCTCGGATGAGAGGCAACATTGCTTGTGTGGAGCAACCCCACAGATATTCAAAAGTTGGCTCTGAGCACCAGCCTAGCCAAGTGTCCTGCCACTGACCCTGGGCTGCCAGGGGGTTTCTTCTTGCAAAGCCTCATTTCCTCTTCTGATCTGTCATTCCAGCTGAGCCAGGTTGGGCCAAAACCTTCCGACCCCAGTTCTGTGGGAATGTTAAGGAAGGTAGAGGATATATTGTTTAGGCTCAGGGTGGCCTGTCTAATGTTTGTTCCTAGAGAATGGTCTTCTGCTACTCCTGTTCACCCACATAGTTCAAATGCGCCTCTTTCTCCTGCAAGGAGAAATTAAAAATAAAATCCTCACACAAATTCATCAATGTTTTTGTGTTCCCTGCAGCAAAAAAACCCTGTTTGTCTGCCCACCCTTTCGCCTTAGTGAGCCAGGCATACCTTTCTCCCCAAATTCACAAACGCAGGACAGGTTTTGTTTGGCAGGAAGTTTGAAAAATCCTGGTGGCGATTTCTGTCACTTCCCACAGCATTGGTGGGAAAACCTTAAAGACGGAGGCCATGCAGTGCTTTGCCCCTCCCACCAATGCCCCTCAGCCCTACTTGACCATCAGAAAACCTGCAGCTGACCATCTGTCTTGAGGCAAGAAGCCTGCTAGTAAGTAATTGGTTCAGTATAAGCTAGACCTGAGCTCAAGAGCTCCTTTTGTTTTCCATATTCTGCTTTATCTCTTTGTCCTCTCCCTTGTCTTCTTTATTCCTAATAAACCTGACATAATTTGACAGGCGGGTCTCATGTGCATCGTTGGCAACTCACAAGGTTAGTGGAGGACCCCCCCATGAGCCTAAGCTGCTTGGTTCATGCTACACAGAGGTATAGGATTGGGGTTGACAGGTTGCTGGAATCTCTGCAGGAGGGACTGCAGTAGAAAAAAAGCAGGTTTCTTTCACCCCAGGGAGCAGCCAGGAAACTGGAAGCCATATTGAAGTCCCTTTTTGCACATTTGCCTGAGAACTCCAGATTCTCTTTCCCTATGCCCCATCCAAGAGCTATAGCTACAAAGAGGGCTGGAGGTAGCACCAAGTGTTGTTGTTGTTTAGTCGTTTAGTCGTGTCCGACTCTTCCGGACCCCCTGGACCAGAGCACACCAGGCACTTCTGTCTTCCACTGCCTCCCGCAGTTTGGTCAGACTCATGTTCATAGCTTCGAGAACACTGTCCAGCCATCTCGTCCTCTGTCGTCCCCTTCTCCTTCTGCCCTCCATCTTTCCCAACATCAGGGTCTTTTCCAGGGAGTCTTCTCTTCTCATGAAGCGGCCAAAGTATTGGAGCCTCAGCTTCACGATCTGTCCTTCCAGTGAGCACTCAGGGCTGATTTCCTTCAGAATGGAGAGGTTTGATCTTCTTGCAGTCCATGGGACTCTCAAGAGTCTCCTCCAGCACCAGAATTCAAAAGCATCAATTCTTCGGTGATCAGCCTTCTTTATGGTCCAGCTCTCACTTCCATACATCACTACTGGGAAAACCATGGCTTTCACTATACGGACCTTTGTTGGCAAGGTG